GGCACTGGACAGTCCCTTTAATCAAGTTGGCCTCTCACGGTCATAAAACTAAATATAAATCAGTATGGGGGTTACTATGACCCCCATATTGATAAAAGGGAGATTAAATCCTCCTGCATGCCCATACTCACGGCATGTCAGTTAAACAGTGAGCAGCGAGTGGCCGCTCACTGTCATTTAAAACTACTAGTGACTGGGTAGCTATTGCTGCCCAGTCACTAGTGCAATAAGGGGGGGACCTGGCAAAGGTCCCCCCACTCCCCCATGGTGGGGAACACAAATAACTAAAATGGGGGGGACATAGTGCCCCCCGCGACCCCAACCTTGACCTGCGGGGCGGGTGCTATTAATATAAACGGGGGAGGGCCATAATTAAATAATGTCCCCCTCAGGTCCCCACCCATGACTGGGAGTGGGGACCCTAATTAAAATGGGAGTGGGGACCCTAATTAATTTAATGTCCCCCCTGGTCCCCACCCATGAGTGGCAGGTCGGGACACTAAATAAATAATAGGGGACCTAATGTCCCCCCTGGTCCCCACCCATGAGCGGCAGGTGGGGACTCTAAATAATAAAGTGACTAGGGGTCCCCAAGCCCCTAGTCACATCCCCCCCCCATAAAAATACCCTACCTACCCCCCTCACCCTAATAATAGTGAGAGGGGGCAATAAACTAACCCTGTAAAATAAAATGTTATATTTATCATGAAAGCCCCAAAAAAGGCCAAATAAAAATCCATAATACGCGTCGCAACTGCTAAAATAAAAAAAGAAAACCTACATAATACGCAGAAAAAAAATAAATGCTAACGGTAAAAAAATAATCCATCTTCACCCAGCGAGGGCACGGCGCAGAATGAGCTCCGCAGGGTGGGGAAAGGTTCCTGCCCAGAAAAAGTTACATGAGTTTAGGTTGTGCGGTCGGTCTATTACGGAAAGTCTAATAACCGAACAAATCCACGAGCAGTACCCCTTGGCTCATAGTAGCATTTGTTCCCCTAGTTCATGGGAACAAAACTACAGAATAGTGCTCTCTTGGTTGGTATGGGAAAGGAAGTAGGCATTTGAAAAGTTTAACCGGTTTTCTGGGAAGTCAAATGTCCGATTTTAGTTCCAGACACTCGGCGACCAAATCCCGCTGCCTCCTTTCGTGCGAACAAGATGGCCACCGTTTTTTTTCCTGCACGTGGTGTTCGACTATACGAATGGCGGCCACACAGGAGAGCAGTTAATCCACTGTTTCTTTGAAGTTAAATGAGTCATGGGGGTGGTCGGTGTTCGGTAGTTTCAACTACTGAATGAAAAAAAGTCAATGTATCGAATAAACAGGGTAGTTTCATCACAAATATTCCTTTATTAAGTTCTGCCTTTGTCTGGTTAAGAATCACGTTACCTGAAGAGACTAATTAGTGTTTTGCAATTGCTTAAATATTGTGCTAAGTTGTATTTGGTGGGTTTTGATTGTTAAGTTTACCTAGGGGACCAAGGCACCCCATTTATGAATTGTATTGGTGGTGGCAGCGTTAAAATAGTAATATTTATATTATTATGCTTAAGTGTGGGTGGTGTTAAGGGTGATTTTATCATTATTTCCGTGAACTTTAACCCTTTCACCATCACAACTACATCACTCACACTCTTGAAGTAGGGTGCGTTAGTGACACCCCCTGCTTGGGGTCTGTGGATAAATTGGCTGTACCATGTTCCATTAAACAGTTCAGTTCAGTTGACTCCAAGGACTATGTTTCTGGTTACTGGGGGAATGGGTATTAACTTGTGCTGATGGTTCCAGAGTGGCTGAATGAAGGTAATTGTGGAGGTAACCAGTCGGGTTACCCATGGTTCACTACAGTGGTCTCCCCCTGTCCGATTGCAAACCAGTCAGGGAGATCTTTTGATCAATATATAAATGCTTCCACAGCACTGGGTCCATACGTGAGGAAAAAATACCTGACTGAATTGAATCAGTTAAAAGACGCTAACATGTTTGGTCCTTGCACAGCACAAAACATGTTATTATCTCTCTACTTGGTGACCCCTTTGCACATTGTGTTCTAGGGTAATATTTCATGTTTAATAAAGGATGTTTTAACCTATAAGACTGAATCTGGTATTTTCCCCGCATGTGGAAGCATTTGTATTTTATATGGGAGAAGAATCCACACACCAGGACTCTCTTATGGTAGGACCATTTTTACTTTACCAGCTTCGACATTTGTCTACTATATTATATGTTTTGATGATCTTTTGATTAAGTCATTCAAAGTAAAATACACACACACCCATTCAAAGAAGGAGACACACAGGCTCACACACATCCACAGACAGAAACACACATTCTCACTGCATTCAATATTACTCTCCTCTACATCTCATTAGGAATGCAACACATGTATTTGTAGATGTATAGAGATGTAATCAAAGATCCGCCTCCTTGGCTGAGATCATCAAAACTGACTATATAAGCCAAAACAATTCTTTCGCATAGCAAAACATTGGGAGGCTATGGTGAATGTGCAGCAAAATGCTGCTCTGTGCCAATCAGTGTCTCCTCATAGAGATGCATTGAATCAATGCATCTCTATGGGGAATGTTCAGCGCCTCCATGCAGATCGTTTGAGTGACTGCCACCGGAGGTGTTACTAGGTACCAATGTAAACAGTGTTTACATTAAATTGCCTGCAAGGACATGCTATAGACACCATAATAACTACATTAAGCTGTAGTTGTTCTGGTGACTATAGTGTCCCTTTAACTATTTTATCAGCTGAAACTAGAGAAACAAAGTTAAGAAAATACAGTCAACTTGTCTTTAATTCTCTTGCCTCTCATTAGAAAACATCAGGGTCTAATTCTCAGCTCTGTGCTGTTACTGAAGGTTAAGGTTTTCTTGCCGAACCATAAATCTGCCTGCTGAGAGTTGAAAGAACATCATATATCATTAAGACACAGTCTATCCTGACAGCTGCCATCTCTGCACCTCAGTCGTTGATTTCTGTAAATGCAGAAGTCTGGCATACACAGCTAGCTGTAAACTCACTGCTTGATTTCGACTGCACAATGGTGCAGTGAGATTACAGTAAAGTATTAATGGCAGATGCTTGCCTCGTGTATGTGTAGAATATTGCATATTCTATGTTTCTATTTATTATGTATGGATGTCTGGATTGACCTACGTAACATATGATATCAATAAGTCACAAGGCTTCCTTTATCTGAGAACTCTTGAATATGGATTGGCGGTCTTGTCTTTATATGGCTAGGGTTATACTCTGATGTAATTTTGGTCATATCTATATAGAATAAGGGACAAAGGGCCATGAGGTCTTGCTGTTGCTTGCTGCACGAAGTTCTTCTTCTCGTCCGGCTGTCTTACTAGGTAGACTCAAACTCTTCCTTCAGGAGTCCAGCAATTACCATCTGCTGTTGAACATCCATTATCCTGTAACATCCTTTGTTGTTTTATTATGTATTCGTAACTCTAAGAATAAAGCTGAGAAACTGTAAGTCCGATTGCGTATTAGTATTATTGGTTAATATAGACGTGTGACAGACCCATCTGTATAACTATTATTGCTGGTTCGTCTAGTTTGCCTTCCTTTCGTGGAATTGCCTGTCCTATACCCCTATTCTTATGTTTGACTTTTTACCGAATAAACTTACCGAACGGACGGACACCCAGAAGAGAAGTGTGCTGCTGGTTAACCTCTTTATCCCAATTAGAACTTTGTGCTTAACCGCAGACACCTCTTAATTACAACCAAATGCAGGGTGGTCGTCGTTCGTATGTTGACCACGAGGCGGCGGCCATTTTAAACCATGCGAAAGACCAGCGGAGTTCGGCGCAGATTCTATGGAACTAAAAACGGTCACTTTTTCTGCCGAACACCGCTGAAACCACAGACCACCCTTCTCAGTCGACAAGGCATGCGAACACTGGCCGTTCAGGAGTTTGGATTACACGAATAGACTTAACCCAGATAGCCATCCCATGGAGTCAATCGCATACGAAAGACTGTAAAAGACTTTGACTCCATGGCGATTGAACTGTGCATATGGGATCTGAGCGCTATTCGCTAAGAATGTGCAGTCAGATCCAGGCTATCTGGGGATACGTTGCACGAATGTAATATGTTCGGTAGTTGTGTAATTATTTATTTTCATGTGTTTTTTGTGTTTTACTTAAAATGGCGATTTGCCTCTGTCCTGGGAGATAATTGAATTACTTCTCAATTATCTCCAGGGCAGAAGGGAGGAAATTGGGATGCATTATGGGAATATTTTGTGCCTGTATGTCTGAAAGTGCCATATGTCTGTCTGTCATTACAGTCTCCCTTTTGGTCCCCTAGGGGAGTGTCCACCGAGTGGGAGACCTGCATAAATACGGGCGGGTAGCCCACAGTAATGCCAGTTCTTGTTTTACCCTCAATGCGGAGCTTGGTCTCGTTATTTACTTATTTACTTTACTGAGAGGGTAGTGGATGCATGGAATAGCCTTCCAGCTGAAGTGGTAGAGGTTAACACAGTAAAGGAGTTTAAGCATCCGTGGGATAGGCATAAGGCTATCCTAACTATAAGATAAGGCTAGGGACTAATGAAAGTATTTTAAAAATTGGGCAGACTAGATGGGCCGAATGGTTCTTATCTGCCGTCACAGGCTATGTTTCTATTGGGGGGATTTACTAGACACGGTTAGCGACTGATTGCTGGAACAGTAAGCCGCTTGGAGGATATATTTTTACGGCTGTTAGCCACTATTCGTGGATTATTGTTCGGGAGCTTGGAGCATCCGCACGGGTCCCGTTCGGGAGATTGGCGCATTCCCCTGGTTGCAGTTCGTACGGTGGAAGTATATACGAATGGAGCTTGCATTATTGCGAAAGGGGAAGCTTAACTAAACGGCGGTTTCACTCCTTTGTGCCAGGGGTGTCTTAACAAGACGGATATTAACATGGCGAGTCTTTTACCCAAGAAGAAATATACATAAAAGACTTATTTGTAATGAAAACTGAAATGTTTAATCAAATAGCGGAAAACAAATATATCCCAAAGGAATTATTGCATTCTAATCTTATCCCAATATTGAAACAAAACAAAGACAGCAATGATCCTAGAAATTATAGACCAATTGCGCTAATTAATGTTGACATGAAGTTATACTCGGCCATCATCGCGGAGAGAATTAAAACTATTATACCAAATTTAATTCATTTGGACCAAATTGGGTTTATCTCTGGTAGATGGGCATCAAACAACACTAGAAGGTTAATTGATATTATAGATTTGGCTAAAAGACATAAGATGCCCTTCCTGGCCCTGTCTTTGGACGCGGAAAAAGAGTTTGACAGGTTGGGCTTATCTAGGTGAGGTTCTAAAGGCCTTTGGTTTCCATGGATGGATATATAATGCAATTCTGGCTCTATATTCTGTCCCTTCGGCCAGAACGGTTGGCCCGAACATCACTGCGGGCTGATTTGACCTAAAAAATGCTACGAGGCAGGGGTGTCCTCTTTCGCCCCTGTTCTATATTTTAACACTTGAGCCCTTAGCCATTAATATTAGAAATAACTCATTACTCAATAAGCGTGTCCATACGAGACAAAGAGATATTACAATTTCATTATATGCGGATGACGCTTTAGTCACCCTCTCTTCTTCTGAGGATTCATTAGGGCCCCTAATGTCTGAAATTTATAAATATTCAAATATTTCCAATTTTAAGCTAAATATTTCGAAATCTACAGCCCTAACTATGAATATGACCCATGATCAGGTCGATATTCTATCCCAGAGACACAAATTTATTTGGACAGACAAAGAAATAAATTATTTAGGCTTAATCATATCTGCTAATGTTTCTTGTACAAGGTAGAGGAATGTTTTGACGCTAATGAAAAATATGAACCACAATTTAAAAAAAATTGAGAAATTTAGAAACCTCCTGGTTAGGTAAAATTAATATAATAAACTCCTATATTTGCCATGGTCCCACTTAAAATGTCTAAACCATGGTTAGCAATGATTCAATCAAGTTTTACTAAATTTATTTGGAAAAATAAAAAACCCAGAATTAGTCAGAAAATACTATTCAAAAAAGTGTCTAAGGGCGGTCTTAGTTTCCCAAACATCACCTCTTTGTATTATGCTTATTTCATCAGGCATATTTATATACTACAAGACCCACAGCAGCGGTCTGAACCATGGTTTACTATGGAATCAGAGGCAGCTCATACCTCTAGACTACATTATTATATGTGGTTCGATAATAGGAACATCACAAATGAACTTACCTTAAATTGCCTATCTACTCCGGCCCAAACTATAGAGGCCTGGGCAGAAATTAAGAAAATCCTGGGTTTTACCTAATGTATTCCAAGGTCATGTAAATTAAACAAATTGGAATTAGTTATTGAAGACCTTTCATTGAGACACTGGGAAAATAATGATTCATTAACAATTTCTGATATTATGCAAGGGGACAATATTCTTTCCTTCGAACAATTAGTTGACAACTTACTTATCCCGCCAAGAGAAATATTTACTTATCTTCGAATTAAAAACTTTATAGATAAAAATGTTATTCAAACTTCTCTATTGGCTAAGAATTTAGAAACTGTATTCTGTAATCGCCCTGTTAACAAGGTTATTTCTATTGCAAACTCGCTGTTGGATTGTCGGAATGTTATCCCCCATAAATTAATTAATATTTGGGAGCAAGAATTAAATTTGAGGATTTCATCAAAGGATTGGTTTGCCTCTTTACTTTACATAAACAAATATATTCATTGCCTGAATTTGATATAGTACCATTTCAAAGTAGTACATAGATGGTATTATATCCCGACAAGATTGGCCAAAATGTATCATACCTACGACCCTATTTTTTGGAGATGCAGCACTTATCCGGGTTCATACATACATATTTGGTGGTCTTGCCCCATAGTTGGACCGTTATGGGCTTGGGCTTTTAATATTTTCTATACATTGTCACTTAATAAATTAAACGAAAATCCGGCCTCAGCCCTTTTGCACCTGAACTGGCTTTTTAAGACTCATAAATATAATTGTTTAGCAACTCATTGCTTGATCGCTGTCAAAATCATTATTGCTAGACAATGGAAATCATCAAAACCATTTCAGAAAAATCTAATTAATCAAATTGTTTTTCAATTATCCATGGAAAAAGATATTATTAATAATATGACCATACTCTCAAAAAAATATGAGTGGTATGCTAATTGGTTACAAAAATGCTCCCAGCTATATGGATAATCTATGTTTGTAATTATCCATTTAGACAAAGGTAGGGCATAACATTTAGTTTTATGTTTTTCTTTTTCTTCTTCTCGTAAAATATCTTACAGATAATAAGGGCAGAAACTGGGTGTCTGTTGTAGTCATATATCGTTAAGCTTCATTATTAAATGGCTCAATATTTTTTTAAGGTAACTCTCCTGCTTTGAAAGGGTGTAGGGTTTTTCCGGGTGTTTTTGTCTTCTTTTAGTATGTCTAATCCTATTTATTTATTTTGAGTCAAACGTATAGTAAATGACGATGGTTTTTATGAAGATGTTTAACTCATGTTAATTTGAATATAATATGGGATGTATCTGATTTTTGGTTTTTGTATTTGTCACTTATGGAGAAAAAAAAATCAGTTCAATAAAAATTCAATATATATAAAAAAAAAAGACTTATTTCAATCAACCTGGAAAAATACACAGAAGGAACTAAATTTATTACAGTGTGTGTCAGCAGAGGGCCTGTGGCCACAAGACAGAGGCAAGCCAATGCACTTTATCTGCACTCTGAGGTGGGAAAGTGCTTGGAGCAGAAAGTGAAGCAGAACCATGCAGGAAAGTGCCTTCAGTCTCCTAAATAGCACCTTCTATTTCCCCTCATAGCCCGTCTGTTAACACACAGCTCTTCTGCATCCATAAACACATTTATGCAGCCTCGGTACTCAAACAAAAACAAATCTGAAATTTGACAGAGAGAAAATTACTTAAATTATTAGATATCAGGGCAGAGCCAGCTCTCAATACATAGTGTGTACAGGATTAAAGATACAACAAATTGAGATATGGTGCCATATGAGGGGGCTGTACTGTTCTTGAACGGTTTAACCCCAAAGGTTGCCTTTAGCCCCAGATCTTCAATTTCCCCAGTGACATCTGACTTCTGAAATTGACTTTCAGAAAATGTGCAGTTCCGCTGGGCACATTGGCTCATTGGCTAGACCGGTTAGCTGGTGCTTTAAGCCAGTCAGTAGCTCCCCTTTCATAAAAATTGCTACATACCTTTTTTATGAATGGGGAGCAACTGACTAACTTATAGGATCAAATGACCGCTGGGGTAATTGGAGATTCTGCGCTAAAGGCAACCTTTGGGGTTAAACCGTTCAAGAACAGTTTAAGCCTTTCATGTAAGAAAGTCTCCAGGGACATCCTGTCACCATAACTACTTCATTTAAGTAAAGTTGTTATGGTACCCAGAGTGTTACTTTAAAGCAGCAGGATACCGATAGAATCTATCATTATTACCTTTGCAACTGGCAATATGATCACCCTGCAGTGGTAATATGGAGCCACAAAGTATTTGGCATGCTTAGCAGAAGCAACAATTCTTAAAGATTAAAATGATCAGAATCAGCTTACTCCTCCAAGTCACAGGCCCAGTCCTGAAGTGTGGAGCTTGACAACTTTTCAACTAACCATAGCATGAGTGTCTAAGGTTTCAGCTAAAGAGCCACTAAGCACTAAGGTCGAGAGAACAGAAGTCATGCTGAAGGTGGAGCAGGGAGTCAGGCCCCTTTTAGCAGATACAGCAAAACAAAGTGCGCCCTGATAACCCTCCTAAGGAGTGGCAACAGGGGCAGACCTCACCCCTTGCCACCCCCCCCTTAGTACGCCACTGATTTTAAATCAAAGGAACAAGAATATGCAAAATATTTATATATGTAAATGTACCTTGTTATGTGCTCTAGATATAAGTGTTTTCATCCAAGAAGCTAGGACCATCCCATCCTAAGCTGA